CAAGAGATCAATATAATAAAGGTAACTAATTATCCAAGATATCAATATAGCAAAGGTGACTAATTATCCATAAGATCAATATAACAAAGGCGGCTAATTATCCAAGAGATCAATATAATAAAGGTGAGTAATTATTCAAGAGATCAATATAATAAAAGTGACTAATTATCCAAGAGATCAATATAACAAAGGTGACTAATTATCCAAGAGATCAATATAATAAAGGTAACTATTTATCCAAGAGATCAATATAACAAATGTGACTAATTATCCAAGAGATCAATATAACAAAAGTGACTAATTATCCAAGAGATCAATATAACAAAGGTGACTAATTATCCAAGAGATCAATATAACAAAGGTGACTAATTATCCAAGAGATCAATATAACAAAGGTGACTAATTATCCAAGAGATCAATATAACAAAGGTGACTAATTATCCAAGAGATCAATATAATAAAGGTGACTATTTATCCAAGAGATCAATATAACAAAGGCGACTAATTATCCAAGAGATCAATATAATAAAGGTGACTAATTATCCAAGAGATCAAGAGTCTTGATTTAACTAGATGTCTGGGATGTATTCTAGGTAATTTTTACCTGGATGTCTGGGATGTATTCTAGGTAATCTGTATCTAGATTTAAATAGATGTCTGGTATGTATTCTAGGTAATCTTTACCTGAATGTCTGGGATGTATTCTAGGTAATCTTTATGTAGATTTAAATAGATGTCTGGGATATATTCTAGGTAATCTTTACCTGAATGTCTGGGATATATTCCCTAGAATACATCCCAGACATTCAGGTAATAATTACCTACAATATATCCCAGACATCTATTTAAATCTACATAAAGATTACCTATAATCTTTACTGAATGTCTGGGATGTATTCTAGGTAATCTTTATGTAGATTTAAATAGATGTCTGGGATGTATTCTAGGTAATCTGTACCTAGATTTAACTAGTTGTCTGGGATGTATTCTAGATAATTATTACCTGGATGTCTGGGATGTATTCTAGGTAATCTTTACCTGGATGTCTGGGATGTATTCTAGATAATCTGTACCTAGATTTAACTAGATGTCTGGGACGTATTCTAGGTAATCTTTACCTGAATGTCTGGGATGTATTCTAGGTAATCTGTACCTGAATGTCTGGGATGTATTCTAGGTAATCTTTACCTGAATGTCTGGGATGTATTCTAGGTATCCAGGTAGATTACCTAGAATACATCCCAGACATTCAGGTAAAGATTACCTAGAATACATCCCAGACATCCAGGTAAAGATGGTCTGGGATGTATTCTAGGTAATCTTTACCTGGATGTCTGGGATGTATTCTAGATAATCTGTACCTAGATTTAACTAGATGTCTGGGATGTATTCTAGGTAATCTTTATGTAGATTTAAATAGATGTCTGGGATATATTTTAGGTAATCTTTACCTGAATGTCTGGGATGTATTCTAGGTAATCTTTACCTGAATGTCTGGGATGTATTCCAGGTAATCTGTACCTAGATTTAACTAGTTGTCTGGGATGTTTATGTCTATCAGACTTTAAAACTTGATCTAAGGTTTGAAAAATCTTATTCATAATAAATTGAGTGAAATTTACAAGTAAACAAAGATGACCGAAGGAGTGAATGTTTGAATCTAGTCAGTATAGAGGCTTAAAATAGGATTTAAAATTTATCAATAGAACATGTTGAAAATACATTTTACTCGTTTATTGCTTTAGTGATAGTTTCTGGTTGGTTTATTTTTGTGATAAACAGAATATGAGTTGTGTAGTTATAAAAAAATTTCAATCTTTAATTCAGATGCCACCTCCAAACCAAAGGCCAGCCTCTGACCAGCCCTTTCCACTGTCGACACAGAGAGAGAAGTCGACTATCCCTAAAGCCGGAACAGAGAATGAAACGTGGGAGTATCCCTCACAACAGATGTTCTGGAATGCCATGTTGAGGAAAGGGTGGAACTGGCGAGAAGCCGACTTAACTGCAGAAGATATGGCTCATATTATTAGAATCCACAACATAAACAATGAAGTTGCGTGGGAAGAAGTGCTGAAGTGGGAAGCTTTACATGCCAAGTAAGCCATAACCGTATCGTTTTGGTTATTGTTGTAAAATATTATATAAAATCCACAACATAAACAATGAAGTTGCGTGGGAAGAAGTGCTGAAGTGGGAAGCTTTACATGCCAAGTAAGCCATAACCGTATCGTTTTGGTTATTGTTGTAAAAGATTATATAAAATTATACCGGCTTGCCAACAGTTTGAGAAAGTCAAACTTTTGAAGAGCGTCACTTTTATTACATCAATTTGCAAGTTTTATTATGGACCTTTAGTAAACCTTCTAGGTGTAATGTGGTGATGATTGAAAAGTATGTCCACATCCTTTGAACTTATAAACGTATCTCTTCAAGTCAGTCAGTTTTTGTTCTGTAATTTAGCATTTTATTCAATTTGTAATGACCCTAAAATGTGACCACTTTTATATTTAACATCAGGATAAAACATTGTAAAAATTTTTTAAAAGAAGTGTCAAAAGTGTCTTTTTTTTGTTGCCTGACTAACGTATTCATCCATAGCGTAATTTCTTGAACTCGGCCAACTTCCACCACTTACATAACGATTAATTTATATAGACTGTTTCCATAAAGACTGTATGGATCAAAATATGTAACCTTTTAGTTTAAGTTATTTATTATAGTTTATACAAAAGTAGCGAACTGTTTAAAAAAGGAATTTCAAAAACTAGAAAATATAATGACTGTTGTTTGTAAATAATGTGTACATACTGTTTACAGCTACTTCATCTTAAAAAATGATAAATGTCTTTACTTAAATTTAGGGAATGTGATTGCATCAAGCTGAAAAAATTTGGTGGTAAAGCTCAAGAATATTCACCGAGGGCTAGAATAAGAAGCTGGATGGGGTAAGTATAATAAGGCTAATGAATATTCACAGAGGGTGAATATTCGTTAGCCTTATTATACTTACCCCATCCAGCTCCTTATTCTAGCCCTCGGTGAATATTCTTGAGCCTTATTATATTTACCCCATCCAGCTCCTTATTCTAGACCTCGGTGAATATTCGTTAGCCTTATTATACTTACCCCATCCAGCTCCTTATTCTAGCCGAGGTCTACAATAAGGAGCTGGATGGGGTAAGTATAATAAGGCTCACGAATATTCACCGAGGGCTAGAATAAGAAGCTAGATGAGGTAAGTATAATAAGGCTCAAGACTATTCACCGAGGGCTAGAACAAGAAGCTGGATGGGGTAAGCACCACATGAATTAAGCTATAAATTGAATAATGGATAATTTCAATGGGACCTAAACTTATTGAAGCTATTAATTTTTCCATGGTTACAATATTAGTAGTTGTTTTGTGAAGATTGTTCTCCAGTTTGAACTAATGGTTTGTTTTTGTTATCAGATGAACCTGGAATAGATGGTCAGAGAATTAAACTACTCACTTACTCAACAGGTATGAACTTCCTTTCGATCGACACGACTGGATAGTTGATCGCTGTGGGAAAGATGTACGATATGTAATCGATTACTACGATGGCGGCAGTGTGGATATGCAAACGGGAAAGTTCGCCATCTTGGATGTCCGACCAGCCTTTGACTCCTTGGAGGCAGTCTGGGATAGAATGAAAGTCGCATGGTGGCGTTGGACAGTAAAAGACAAAAATGATTCATGATAAGACATTCTGTTGTTAATTCTTTCTCTTCATCTTTAGCAGCAAGTTAGTGAGGTAGAATTGAGATCGTGTAAGCAGTGGTTACTAGTATGTGTGTGATTATACATATGTGTATAGATGGCACTGCCGTGTCAAATGACAAATAATTACAGTTTATTTCAATCTATTTTGTCTTAATGTTGCACTAGAGATTATATTTGTTAATTTATGAGTTTTTTTTTTCAAACTTCATTGTTGTGAAAATGTACATTTATTATGCTTAATAATTGTACCCACTTGTGTACCGAAGCATAAGTTTGAATCAAAAATGGTAAATCTAGACAGACGGAAGTTGAATTATTTGGAAATTGGTGTGCTAACCTTTACTATTACTCCATTTGTTTAATTGCATTACTTACTAGCGAATGTGTCATTTATCCTGATTATTAGCTGATGCACCCATTCAAAACATGGGGATGACATCATAATTCTGACACCCATATCACTCCCTGCAGGCATAAGGGTACATGCTAGGTTTTATCCAGCACTTCGTCAGTTATAAGTGAGCACACGCACACTTTGTCATATAACGTTCTAAGCAAGGAAAGCTTGACGGACAAGTATGTGTTTAATAATAATTTTCACTTTCTGTATTCTAAAGTATTGCACCTAGTTCAGAGGACAGTTTGAAACTTTGCAGGGTATGATTGTCAGGACATAAGACACAAAAGCGATTTGCTACCAGGTATCTCGTCACTGATGCGTTTCCCATCTAGTTGGTAGTAGAGTGTCACTAATCTGGCAGTAGTTTCTTGTAGAATGAAGGTCGTAAACGATCTGTACTCTTGTGCAGTGGATGAAAGGATGTATGTTGCTTAGGGACACTTCCAAAAAATGTCTTATTTATTCTATGTTCAAACCCCTTTCCCACACACACCATTAAAACTAAAGCACCTTTTTAAAGGTTTGCGTTAATGAAGGTAGCAGCTTATGGTAACAATCATTGGGATTCTCTTACATCAAAAATCACCTGATATATTTCCCATCTTTATTATTTTATGTCTTAGTATCAAAATACTTGAAGTATTAAAATTAGCCAAAGAATCAGTGATACATACGTGTATAGAAAATTAATAATGGCACAGAGGAAAAATTACAACAGAAAAACTCAATATTACATGGGTGAACCTCCTTTCCAAGGATCTGGAATTTTAACCCCAAGCATATCCCCTACTTACAGAGGATATCACTTCTAGAACATGTTATGTATATCCCCTACTTACAGAGGATATCACTTCTAGAACATGTTACGTATATCCCCTATTACAGAGGATATCACTTCTAGAACATGTTATGTATATCCCCTACTTACAGAGGATATCACTTCTAGAACATGTTATGTGTTTTTTTTAATACAAGTTTTTACTCATTATTGGATATAAACATTGTTAGCTTAGAAACCTCAGGAGTACCTTCATTTCAGCCAAGTATTTATTTTAGATAGAACTGTACTAGAATTACTGTCATTTAACAAGTAACAACACTTCAAATAACTAATTCATGAGGAGACATTGTTCAGATGTTGCATTCATTTTGTAGCCTAAAATTATTAGATGTCATTTTTAATTTTTGATCTAGAATAAAAGTTATAAGTGTAGAAAGTATAAGAATGATTTAGTGTTATTTGTTGCATAACAAGTTATTTTAAACATTCACTTTTGTTAGAAAATAAACAATTGGAGAGAAATACTACACAGTTATAGAGAAACTGGATAGTGAATAGGTACTGAGGAGAAAGGAAACCAGCACACATAATTTCACCTATAATTTGAAGAGAAATATAAATATTAGACACCAACCAATAAAGTTATTTGGTGTAAATTTAAAAAGACAGACTAGGCCTAGAATCACGTAATTACTGTTAACTGATGATAATTGATAGTATTAGATCGAAACATTGTAACATGTAAAAAGCGTATCTACGTCATCAGTAAGTTTACCTCTACTAAACAGTGAACAATTTGAAAATAGCATACAATGTTTAAGGCAGTACTTGGAGTATTTATAAATCTATTGTAATATGAACAACATTAAAGTTTGAGTGATATTATCATCGTTGGTCAAACCTTATTCACGTTTATTCGGAAAAACGCAACTCTCGATTATTCAATCTTCAACAGCGCCATCTCGAGATAGTTACTTGAAATAAATAACTTAGAATAAAAAGGGCAAATACAATTATATATTATTTGTTATGAAAAATTTAATAGTTAACAAAAGCACCACTTAATCTGCTTCAGTAAGAAAGTTACTCTTACTTCTTTTTTTATCATGAACGAAAACTTTTTTTTTTTTGCCTGACAGTAAATATCTGTTATTTATTAAGACAAATATCCGTCATTATGAAAATGCGCAACTAAAACTCCGATTTTTGTACTCGAGGCTGACAGTAACACGTATGCGAATTATAAATTTAAAACTTTATAGAATTCGTGGTGAGCTTATATAAGTCTGGAGAATTGACAGAAATTCTAACGTTTTTACAGAAATTCAAATAACTTTATATAAGTATGGTGAATCTACAAAGTCTACAGTAATTTTAAAGTGCTTTTGAATTTACATAAAGTCACGGTAACACGTGATACACTTGTGTAAAACGTTCCATAATTTCACAGTAACGCGTGATAAACACACATAAAACTTGACCGTAAATTACTGTTAACTACCTAATGTATTTGTATGTAAACAGTTGTTAACTGTGTTTTTCTGAGCTTCGAAACATTTGTTGAATACATTATGTATTATTTTATGTGTTACTATGGAAACAATTCTTCACTACGTTATGTGTTAAGATGAAGACAATTGTTGACTGACTATCTTACGTATTATTTGCTATTAATATTGAAACAATTGGATATAAAGTAAGATTTTTTTAAAGTGAACGATAGTCATTTATTGTGTTTATCAATACGTTATCATTAAGAAAGCTTCTTTTAAAAAATATCTTGATCTTGAACCTTATTAAATATCCGTTTTGTTTTAATTACTAAACATATAGAACCACTTATTTGTCAGTTGTTTCATTCATTTTCCCCTCCTTGTGTAGCTTAGTGCTAACAGTAACAAAGTTTCGTTCATTTTCCCCACCTTGTATGGCTTAGTGCTAACAGTAACAAAGTTTCGTTCATTTTCCCCACCTTGTGTGGCTTAGTGGTAACAGTAACAAAGTTTCGTTCATTTTAGTTTCGTAAAAGAGAGAACTGTAAGGAAAAGTTTACAGTTTTATTTGTAATTACATGAAATTCTTTTATTCATTCATTGTAGTGTTGTAAATGTGACAGAATACAGGATTCACTGTAGTGTTTTAAATGTTACAGTGTACGTGAGTTTTATTGTAATGTTTTAACAGTGTGTACGTGAGTGAAGGTGATATCCTCTCTTTGTTTTAACTTCACACTGTTTCTCGGTTTTGTATTATCTCGGTTGCCAATCTCATCACAAGTCTGGTTAAAACTCAATACAATTCTGTAAAAATAGATGGCAGCACATCCACTGTAATGAAAGTTATTGTTTAAAATATTAAAAAAAAATTATTATAACAAATAAACGTATTTAATTTCTGTGCTAAATAAAGAGATTAATAAATTAAGAACATCAGTACTACATCTTCTGTAAATCCTTTATAGTTTCACTGTGGTGAGTAAAAGACAGCTCAAAACACCGTACATATAGACTCAAAACATCTATATTAAGGTATTTTAAGTCTATGTGTATGGTGTTTGAGTCTATATTAAGGTATTTTAAGTCTATGTGTATGGCCTCAAAACACCTTAATTTTGACTTAAAATACCTTAATATAGACTCAAAACACCTTAATTTTGACTCAAACACCATATATGTAGACTTAAAATACCTTAATATAGACTCAAACACCGTATATGTAGACTTAAAATACCTTAATATAGACTCAAACACCGTATATGTAGACTTAAAATACCCTAATATAGACTCAAACACCATACACATAGACTTAAAATACCTTAATATAGACTCAAACACAATATATATAGCTTAAAATACCTTAATATAGACTCAAACACCGTACATATAGACTTAAAATACCTTAATATAGACTCAAACACCATACACATAGACTTAAAATACCTTAATATAGACTCAAACACCGTACATATAGACTTAAAATACCTTAATATAGACTCAAACACCATACATATAGACTTAAAATACTTTAATATAGACTCAAACACCATACATCTACAGTAGAAAGATATTGTTACCCACTTATCGTTTTTCATCATAGCAATGGAGATAACCGTGTTTTGTGGCGATTGTACCAATAACAATGTTTTTAAATATTTACTTTAAAATTATCTAATGTTAATAAGGAGTGATACTTTACTTGACTGACGAAGAATAAAATCATATTTTAGAGAAATATTATTCGTTTAATTTATAAACGACAGATGAAACGTGTTTAACACTGGTCAGTTTAATAACTGACCTTCAACTCCGCTGAGAAGAACAGAAAGTGAACTTGGTTTGAACGATGTAAAGCGATAGACCTAAAATTGAACGTCATACCAATACCTAAATGTGAGAAACGATTGGAATTGTGGGAAATAGTACACGAAAGAATTCACGTTCTCCCCGTCTTGACTTGGCCTAGTGTCTGAGGGTCGCGGGTTCAAATCCCGTCCCCGGATGTAATCGCTCTTTCAGCCGAAGGGGCGTTATAACGTAACAGTAAATCCCACTATTCGTTGGCACTAGCTGCCTTCCCTCTAGTCTGTCACTGCTAAATTAGGGACGGATAGTGCAGATAGCCCTCGTGTAGCTTCGTAGAAAATTCAACAATAAAAGAAACAAGGTGAAATCGGTTGTTGGCTAAACACCAGACCTGGCTGGCCTAGCGTAGGGTGCATGCCCCTTCAAATTTTTCGCCCAAAAAAAAAGAGAAAAGCTAAAGTTGTTCCTGGAGGTGGGGCCGAGACCGTATCACCGCTTGTCACTTAAAGAGGGGCCCATTGATCCACAGCCTCCCCATCATAAATTCCTGAACCAAACAGTTTAGTTTTAATCCAGTGTGATGAAATGGGAATTATTTAAAACGAACCAAACCCCAAAATGATGCAAACAAAGGTACATAAAATACTAAACAAACACACGACCTGAATCCCGAACACATTAGTACATTCTATTCCATCGTCTTAGTGTTCTGTTTCAGTTACTTTATCGATTCTGCCAGGAACTGGTTATATTTGTTTTTAATAATTCTTTCCTCAGGCCTTTTACATTATTATTCTTTTAATGATCGGAGGAGGTCCGGAATTTTTCTCGCAAGCTTCTCGATCAAACGCTACAAATCTCATACAATCACAAACTTTTCAATGCAACGAGAATGGTTCACGATGTCATCATTTGACGACTTGCTTCGATTTCAACTTTAGTTTTTTATTTGCAAAGTTTTTCACACAAACATTTAATTCGCTTGTAATTTTCTTAAAAAAATAACATTACTAAATACAATTTCTATGGACTTTCTCGACTTATTTAAGTCTAAAATACGCATTTGCAGATCGTTCAAAACTATATGCTTATCACTCTGTTAACACGGATTCAGACGTTTCTGCATATTCAGCTAAGTTTGCCTTCATTACAACTTTACATTTACTGTACTTTGTAATAATATAGCTTCGGTTCGTTTCA